TAACACATGCGGAAAATCTGTTTTCTGCACTCGGCTGCTTCACCGAATTCCGCTACGTGTCTTTCGGTGAACGACAGACTCGTGCGGAAAAATTCATTTTCCGCACTTGTTAGGTAAATATACTCTTTACTACCAACAAATAACGAAACCCAACTCTGATAGCGAATTCCATTGGACGGGTTAGTACGCTCTAAGTGTATTCGTGTCTTTTTCTACCAGCTTGTATAAGAAAGAGATAAAAATACATTTCTTTGCAGTGATTTTACCAATGGAATTCGCTATGAGATTCCCTTAAAACTTTTTAATTATAGCGAATTCTATCGGTAGAATTAATGCAAAAAATTTATTTTTATCTGTTTCTCATGCACGCTAGTAGAGAAAGACACGAATACACTCAGTGTGCACTATCCCTTTGAATAGAAGGCGCTATAAATGGCATGCGGGCAATGCGGACATTGTGCAAACAAGTTAGGGCCAGTAAGTTGCTGAAATATAAAAATATAAAAAATAGATTTATTTGTAAGGTGTAGGGTACATATTTTTCATCCATCGCAACGATCTTGGGGGGGGGGGGGTAATTACCCCCCCACCTGTATACGCGGGTGTTTCAAGCTATAAAAAACAAGCGAACTTCAGGATTCAATAATATTTCACTGCGTGTTTTTGAGTGTCTTCTTAAGCAGGCATTGGATTCCCTGGTTGGTGCAGTGAATTTTTCGTTTAACTGTGGTATCTTTTCTCCCTGTTTAAAGGCAGCAGTTGTCATACCTCTTTCTAAGGGCTAAAGTTTTCATCACGGAAACGATCCTACTAATTTTCGATCAATTTCATTACTACCAACTTCAGCTAAAATCATTGAGAGACTTGTTAGGGACCATGTGCATTCATTCAAAGGCACCAAATACATCTGTAAGTGTCAGTTTGGCTTGCAACAGAATATAGGTAGGTACTGTTGATGCGATATTTGCCGGTGTTCCCCAAGATTCAGTGCTCGGGCCGGTGATATTCCTACTTTATATTAATGGCCTCACTACTTTGAAGATTCAGGGTAGTTTCACCATTTTCGCTGACGATACGACTATCTTGTGGTCCATAAAGGACACGGAAGGTTTGTTCACTGTTGTTTCTGAGGATATGAGAGCAATTAGGGAATGGTGCAAGTCTAACTTGCTTTTAATTAATTTTCAGAAAACTAATATTATAAGTTTTAGATTTAAATGTGATGACATTAACTTGGAGGGCTCTATTGGAAATAAGGATAGAACAAAATGTTTAGGTATGTTTTTTGACGAAACATCAAAATCTGGTAGGCATGTCTGTGCTTTGAATCAGAAGCTAGCAGCGGAATGCTTTGCATTTCGAATTGTGTCTGGCGAACTGGGAAGTATAAATGCAAGGTCTGTGTCTCTAATCTCTGTAGTAAATATCTTTTCCATTCAGTTTTCGTCTTACAAAAAAAGGAAAATAAGTTACAGGTATTTGCAAAGCAAAATTTCGTGACTCTCGTAGACCTCTTTTCAAACAGCAAGGTATATTGACATTGCCTTGTATATGAATGTCAGAAACGGTATGTTTAATATTTAAAAAGGTTCAAAATGATACCATTCAGGAAAGAACTTACCCTACCCGACAATCCACTAACTTGGGCTTGCCAATCCCAAAGAATGCCCTTACCTCTCTGATTTATGAAAGTGCTTTTTTTTAGATGATTTGCCTAAAGCAATTGGGAGCTATGCAACTTATGGTATGTTTCATGGAGCTTTAAAGCGTTTGTTGAAAGATAAAGTTTATTACAGTCTCACTGAATTTAATAACGATGATTTCAGGGATAATTTTTGAGAAACGTCTTCATTAAATTATTATTTTTTTATTTTATTGTGTTTTAATAGCACTTTATGTGACTGAAACAGTACTTTTTTATTCTCCCCCCTTGGAAAGTAGACCTTTTCATCTTGCATAGACGAGCGAAAGCGAAACTGAAACATGCTAGTAGTTACTTTCACTTTCGCTACTAGCTTGTTTCACTTTCGCATGCCTATTCACGATTTTTGAAGGGGAAGAATGAAAAGTTCAATACATTACACGCTGCAAAAGCCCTCTTAGGTGCTCGGACGTATTCAAATATATATTTGAATACACCTCGCATCTAAAAGTACGCTTTCGCAGATTGGAATGTGACTAACTATTGTACTCCTTCGTTGTTATAGTATGTTTTTTTTTTGTTTATTGTACTTTAGTAACACCTTGTGTGACTGCAGCAGCAGAAAATTGTGTACTACTCTGTTTGACCCCGCTAATTTATTGTCAAGGCAATATTATTCCTTAAACGTGTATTTATTTATTGATATGGTATTTTTATAAGTTATAGCATGAATTAGGCTAAGTCTGCTTTGTCAACAAATATTATGTATTTCTATGACAATAAAGCAATTTTTGATTTGATATATGTTGTATCATGATTATTTACAAGAAATACTAATATTCAACCTCGATGTATTAAAGAGTCAAAGGAAGATGAATCCTCCCCCGAGCTGTTCAACTACTCTCATAATCCTAGGATTGCGCAGCTATCCCAATTCCTCATAGGGGAATTGGGACAAAATTCATATCCTGAATACAAAGTTAAAATTGATGCGACTGTTTTCATTATATACATTTTAGTCGACAACCCAAATGTAAAATATTTAAACAAAAGAAATTAGTTCCTATTGTACAGGGTGAAACACTCGGTAAAACACAAAAAAAAAAATTCTAATGTTTATCAAAAAAACCTTGGGTGAATATATTTGTCAAAAAAAGTAATATTCTTGTAAATAAATAAATTATAAAAATGGTACATTTGGCATTGAAAATGTAAAAGTTTATAAAAATGCGAAAAGTTAGAACTAATAACTAGACATAGGATGTTTGCGCGTCATGAAGTTGTTTCCAAGGTCCCACTCGTTACTGCTCTTCAGAATTTTTTTTTCTATGTTAGCAGAACAATTTTTTAGTATTAAGTAAACTTGAATTGCTTCCATTACTATTAGAGGTTTTTGAGTCTTGCCGCAAGTTACCCATTGTTGGTATGAAATGCTATTAGGAATAGCAACAATTTCTTTTAAAAATTAAAAAAATCGCAAAAATTCGCAAAACATAATAACTGTCATTTTAAAGTAAAGGGTTTGCAGAATTTAAATTCAAAAATTTATAGGACTATAATTCTATATATTTTTGAAATTCTGGTTGGAATTTAATAAAAATATTGAGGATATTTTAAATAATTATCTGCAAAAGGCTAAAAGTGTAACTAATTACTTACCCCCTACAATGTTGTCCATGACCTTCTTAATATAATAAAAAAATAATCACCTCAAAACAATATAATGCACTTTTAAAATTTAATTTTATACTGACCTTCCAACAAATGCAAAAAATTCTTTTTCGTTTTGTTCGTCTCTGTTTTTTGTAAATTCGTGAACAAAAAAGTTAACAATAATATACTAATCATAAACAGGCATTCCTTTACATATGCCATATTTAATTATCCAAAAATAAATACAATACATTTTTGAATTTTGTCCATTGAGTGCAACACTGTGCGATGTACCTACAGCTGACCAAGGAGACCTTATTCCTTACATAAATTTGAATGAGAAAATTTTTGGATTGATTTTCTCTGCTTTTCCATCCATAGACGCGTTTTGACGTATCAGATCTCATCAGCATGGCTAGGAAAAGCAAAGAAAACCAATCCAAGTTTTGTGCCTGTAGGCAAAATACAAATAGTACGAATGCTTTTCCTAGCCATGCTGATGAGATCTGATAGGTCGAAACGCGTCTATAGATGGAAAAGCAGAGAAAATCAATCCAAAATTTTTCTCATCCGTGGATAATAGGTTTTCCTATTCTGGGTTTTCCCACGAACTGAATTTTGGTCGGCCGATTAGATAGTCAATCACTAAATTACAGCAAAAATTGCTGTTTAGTGTTGAATCTTTGTCTTAGATGGCGCCACGATCAAATTTCGACCGTCGTACTATAAATTTGAATGTCTTCTTGGAGTATAAATGTATAAATGTCAACTTCAACGTAATAACTTATGCATACATTTAATGGTTAGCTTGGGATGATATTGTTGTTTGTGTTTGTTTTTTGCATGGTTTCACTAGCGATATCGCTGGTGTGCCTTTTCAAAAGAACAATAGGCTTTCAATTCTCACATGTTTTATGCCTTCTTCAAATTTTATACCATGTACGTGACATTTCCAAAGAATCTGTGCCAACTCGACAACTAGTGTTGCCAACCGTCCTTTATTTCAAAGGACAGTCCTTCATTTTAGAATAATGTCCTTTGTCCTTTTGAAAGGTGTTAAAGGACGGCAAATGTCCTTTAAAATCTGGAAATTAAAATAATTGCATTTTTTTTTTAAAGTCCCATATATCATCATCCACCACATAGTTTATTTTTAAGCCTATGCTAAGACTGCAATGTCATATACAATGTAAAGTTGGCAACATTTAAAAAAATTTGGTAGATCTCGGAGCTCCGAACTTAAAGGACTAAACGACTTGAGCTACTCAAATCAAGAAAAAAATTCACCTGACGTCACACCTGTTTTTGCCATATACTTTACCCCCTCACTCCTCATACGAAAAGTGTCAGATTAAAAACGACGCACAATACATTAAACCTCTGCTTTATGGAAGTGTCCCGTTTTTTTTAATGAAAAAAATATGGGAGCCTTCACTGGCATCCTCGGTGGCGCGGCACCCAAAAAATTTTCAATATGACGTGTCCTTTATTTCAATAAATAAAAGTTGGCAACCCTATCGACAACTTCAAATATATTTTTCAGGTGATGACATAGAAAGGCAATTTAAAATGTATCTAAGTTCTAATTTTTGTATTGTTGTTCTATTTGGATCTAATACCAAACAATATAGAAATAAAATCCCCGCCACTGATTCTCTAGTTCGTCAGAGAGGAACAAAAATCGGTCAAATCTCAAATCTCTGGACGAAATCGAACTTAGAGTAGGTAGTTTACAAATCCGAGTCGGAGCGCTCCTAAAAAATATTCTACCGCTTTGCGCGCGCGTGTAACTCCTGCTGGCTCTGGATGCTGCCGTTCTGTGCGAAATCTTGCGTTTATTGTGGTGTTATTTACTGCTGGAGGCAGTAGTGGTGCTTGACAGCTGATGCCAAGAACGACGACTTGTTGAATAGGTACGAATTTAAATTTAAATTTAATTTTTAAAACAAAAATTTGCTCACGAAATATATTCGGGTTTACCCATCAATACATTTCAAATGTTAATCATGGGCAAGTGTATAGCAGTTCCTATGTAAAACCTGAGGGATATCCAAACTTTATCAAGGATCTTCTCCATAAACATGAAAACAGCTACATCGAAACCCTCAGAATTGCTATGGACTGTCTATTTTTTTCCTTTTTGACCCAAAGTAAACTCAAGATCTCTTGTATCCTCTAGAATAAAATTTAATTCTTGACGCTTCAGGCTTGTTGGCAATTTTCAAGTGATTAAACTTGCTTTAAAAGGCATTTTTACTTGAGCACTTTTGTTTGGCTAATTTTTTAAATTATTCATGAAATTTGAATAACCTTTTTCATCAGATAAACGCATGTTTAAGAATGTTTTACAAAATATGGAAGTATATTCATACACTTCATACTTGACAGCTACTCAAATTTCAAGCACGTTTTAGATTTCAAATATCTTTCCAATTGCTCAGTAAATCTTCTATAATTTCAATCGGTTTGGGACATTTCTTATCTTTCCCAGGCTCTAAAATCCAATACGATATATCCTGATCCCTCACATTAGCGTATCACTTCACGGTTTTATTGATAAATTATTTTTATTAAACACTTCCTTTAGCGTTCTCCATTCCCTTATAACCTACACTCTATGGCCCCGGCGACTATTTTAGTATCGAATTTACTGACCTTAATTTTATTTATTTTAGATTTTTCTTATTTTTTGCTGAGTAACACGGCAATAATTATTATGTCTTATGGACGGCCAATTTAGATACTTTTTTACTTAAAATCTGGGACTCAAACCACAAAAAAGGTAAGTTTGCGTAACCTTGATCGTGTTAGTTAAATATTGCGACATCTTTGAGCGTAAATTAATTAATTTTTTTCGGTTATAAATTAATCAGAGATGCCTTTGATTTATTTATCATAATTTTTGTGGAATTGTCGTTCCGTAATTTAATTTATTATGCATGTGCAAAGTTAAATAAAAAGTGTTCAAAATATCACAGGACCTAGGCATTTCTCAAGTTTATCAAAAAATATATTTCCATTGTCTAATATTTTGCGAATCGTGGATCTAAACCAATATAATTGGAGAGAAGGTAGTGACTAGCTTAGATTTTATTTTTCTTGGAAAAGCTGGATGCAGAAAAGTTTCATTCGATAGATGCTTTTTCTACCCCTAAATATTCAACTCTGATGCGGTTACCGCGAAATTTTGATATGGCCGAGAAATGCCTCAGTTTGAATCCTATAATGTTTCAAATTCAACTTGTGTTTTACTTGTCCGATTTTCAAGAAACTTGAACTGGTGTTTAATTTTTAACAAATAGTCTTTTATTTTTAGGAGAAGTAGGAACTTGCATAGTTTGATATTTTGCATTATGAATTTAGTTTCAATATTTTTTTCTGCGATTGCAGTTGCTTTCGATTTTGTTTATTTTTGGACCTTCTTCACATTAAAAATTAGGTTTTAGGTATTATATAGCAATAATCGTGATCATTTATTCTACCTTGAGTGTCTACTTTTGACTTTAAAAGGGTACCTTCTCCCGTGTGGTAGAAATTAAATGTACATTGAAAGGAAAATCTGAATAAATTCTAGGCATTATTTATCAGCAAGTTACACGTAACTTTAAAAGCTTAGAAAACAACTAAGAAATTTCTCCATTTTCAAATAATGAGTGGAATAATTTTCGAGAGATAAGGTAAATAAAAATTGTTATATTCCATTCTTTCTTTGAGAAAAAATTATGTCTGAGACATTGCTCTAATTTTTTAAAATACCCTGGTCACTATCATGTCTTTCTTCAAAAAACCAATCGGAGTTTGGGTGACCTTAATATTAACTTTGTGTCATATGGATGGATTATTATGACCAGGTCCTGTCTATTGACAAATACCCAAAAAGTGCGGGACCAATAATTATTTTGGAGGACCTCAACTGTTAATAAATCGTTCGGAATTTCAATATCAGGTCTCTTCAACGTTAAATACCTACCTGAATAAAGAAACTTGACACCTCTACGGAAATCGATCACTGTAAAACAAATGTTCAAATTTTCGATTTAACTTTAGATTTGAATAATTGAAATAAAGTGAAGCTAATTTTTGCAATTTTGTATTCATAATTTTCCTAAAATAAAACCATTCAATTGGAAAGAATTTACGCATCATATTTATCAAGGAGAAAAATTTAACCTATAGTTATTGTTCATACGATAAAAACTAGTATTTTTCGCTTAGTTGACGCAGTGTTTCTGGTGGTCTCCTATTTCACAATAAGCAGTAGGAACTTTGGCAGCTGAAAGTACCTCCTCTCATAGCCCTGGTGATGTTCGGCATCCATTTGTAAGAAATGTTCTATTGACTCAGCTTCAGCTGTGTTCGGTCATTTTTACGATTTACGGCTCACCGGACCAATAATTCTATAAATTGTAAATTACCGTTGCCCTGACCATAACTTTTTTTTTAAATACGAACCTACCTTGTGTTGTAAATCGTCCGATAGCTTCTTACTGTCCCTTTATAGTTATACAGCAAAATCAGAAAACTAGTTTTTGAGATATCGGTGTTTAAATGTACCTCAACACAGTTTGAAAACTAGTAATTTTGACTATCTCTTAGACAAAACAATTCTGTCATAAAAGTCTCTAATACACATCGGAGAAACCGAATGTGTTTATTGTCTAACCCCCACCCCTCTTGTCTTGGGGGCTAGCCGCCCCTATTAATATTTCTAAAATGAGAACCTACCTTGTGTGATACCTCCTTTGAAAGGTTTTTTATTCCTCTTTAAAAGCAGATAAAATTATAAATTGAAGAAGTAGTCCATATCTCAAAGTGGAGTTGCAATTTAATTCAAAAGAAAAACTCCAATTCTTCCTCCACGATTACTTTATTCGTTTTAAATTAAACGGCTCATGTTTCGGGATTAGTACTTCTTCCCATCATCATGGGCAATAAATTAGCTCATGTTAACAGGGATGGATAGCATAGGCTGCCAGATCATGCTGAAAAATTTAAATGAGTTTAGATTTAATTTTAGATTAGAAAAATGTAGAATCAGGACCCCAAATGTAACTTAACTTTGTAGAGGAAAAAATAAGTTAAAAAATTACTGTGTCATGTTAATTAAGGAGTGTAAAAATAGAATTAGGTTCAACAACTATGTACAGTTGTAGAAAGTTTTAAATAAATTTCATTGAAAAACGTTTGAATAATCATTGGATCTCTTAAGAAGCTCATGGTAGGCATACTAAGAATGAAGAATCTCAACAAAATGGCAGTCAATAATTTATAATTTAACCAATTTAGCAAGAAAAAACTACCCAAGGTGTAACAATCTTTCTAAACAAAGTAAAATCAAATGAGAGTCCTGATACCAGCGACATCTAGCAGCCTTTACAAATATTAAAGGAAAACAGAAGAAATCTAACAAAAATGGTAGCACCCCACAAACATTGGTACAGAAGGTTGTACTCCGAAATATAAAGTGTAGGTGCCTAAATGTTCAAAAGCAAATGTCCAAACAGAAAAAGGGAGCTGTAAGCAAACAAAAATCCAACTTTAACCTACAAAGAATATAAACAAAATAATAAAAATTAATCAAATCACACAATCAAAGAATCCAAAGTTAGAAATTTAAAGAGGTAAAAAATGCTGTGGCATTGTGGTAATCTCAAATACTTCATAAAGATCCAGTGACCAGTAATAAGCCTTTATTCATAAAATGCCGAAATTTGACATCCTTTTCAGGATTGTAGTCGTGTTTGTTTGACCCACAGCTCCCTATCTCTATTTGGACATTTACTTTTGAACATTTAGGCACCTACACTTTATATTTCGAAGTACAACCTTTTGTACCAATGTTTGTGGGGTGCTACCTTTTTTGTTAGATTTCTTCTGTTTTCTTTTAATATTTGTAAAGGCTGCTAGATGTCGCTGGTATCAGGACTCTGATTTGACTTTCCTTTGTTTAAAAAGACCGTTACACCGGGTAGTTTTTTTTTGCTAAATTGGTTAAATTATAAATTATTGACTGCCATTTTGTGGAAATTCTTCATTCTTACCATGAGCTTCTCAAGAGATCCAATGATTATTCAAACGTTTTTCAATGAAATTTATTTAAAACTTTCTACAACTGTCAGGGTGGCCCAAATTCGAGCCTCATCATTGGGATCTTGGAAACCTTGAGAGATACAGGTTCGGTTAAATCATAGCAAAGTTGCGCATTTTGATGCTTAAGAAAACGCCGCTTTGATATTAGGAATATTCCGAATACTTCCGGAGATATCCGGAAAAAGCCGAAATATTGCAAAATTATTTTTATTTTTTCCTGACTTTATTTGAAGTGATATTCCAAAAAAAATATCACTTTATCATAGCCACTTTTTCTCCCCTATAAGATCAATTTTAAAATCTGACGTTTCGTCTTTGGGCCACCATCATCAACTTAATTTTTTTAAATACGACCCTTATTTTTTATTCCAGATTTTAGGAGCTTCTGATGTCCCCAAACCTATCCCATTTATTCGAAAAATTTATGTTATTGGCACTTTCCATAAGAACTTAATGTGTTAGAGAGAGACAGAGAAGAGAATTTTGTTAAGAAAATACTAAAATGTGAAAAAATATTTTTTTCGAATAAATGCGATACGTCATAGGTTTTGGAACACCAGAAGCTCTTAAAATCTGACACAAAAAATCCAGGGTCGTATTTAAAAAAATTAAGTTGATGATGGTGGCCCAGAGTTAGGGTAGCTACCCCCTAAGGGAAGAAACTCAAAAAATGCCTCAATTTGGTTCCCCCTCCAATACCCCGATACGTATTTGAGATCTTCCTGATAGTATTTTTTGTCTACGGGCCGGTTTATTCACCATCTGATAAAATCTTAGGTATGCAATCTGACCGATAAAAACGCATTCTGTAATCCGATTGGTCGGCCAGTACTCCGTCGACCAATAGAACAATAGAACGGTAAATTTATCTTGCAGATAGTTACCAGCAAGTTTATCTGAAGGCGAATAGTGAATTAACCGAGCCTAAGAGATATTTCGGATTGCTACTTTTCAAATTGTCACCCTGTATACGAATCTGTTTCACAACGTTCTACGTTTTTTGATTCCCAACCTTTACTCGTTTTATCTAGGCATCTGTTGCCAACTTCAATATCTACGCCTTCTCTCCAACTTTTTTCTTTATCTTCCTCGCTTCCTTTTGGGTTTCACCAAGAGTAGATGTGATCACCCTGTTTCTCAGGCTGGCTTCTATCCAGTTGCATATGGTATACGGCGTTTGAGTGCGTTCATTAGTGATGTTGTTGGAATGTTGTAAAACGCCCCTTCTATATCTAGAAACGTGCCTAGCGCCACCTCTTTGTCATCAATTGACTTTATCAGGCGTCTGTTTAGGTCATCTAGTGCGGAGTCCGTGGACTTTCCTGGTTCGTAGGCATAGTGGCGATCGCTTAGAGGATAGAGTGTAAGTCAGTCGTATCTGATACATCTATCCACAATTTTTTCCAGCGTTTTGTGCTATAGATAGGATAGACATATAGGTCTGTATGACTTGAGCGTTTTATCTAGGCACCTACCAATCCTGTGCAGCCTATATGGGACTCTTCCAATCTAGGCTGTCATACGGCCTGCTTTTCTGGGGATGTTCTGTTGACTGGCCAAAAGTTTTTAAAATAAAAAAAAAGTTATCAGAACGATTGGAAGACTGAAAAAAAACTGAAAGCTGCAGACCTTTTTTTCGTGATCTCCAAATACTGAACCTACCAGATCTGTTTATACAGTGTGTCCCGCTTA